GGGTGTAACCAGCTTCCCATCTACGTGGATACTATGGAAAAGCTTGGTTGCTTTTTGCTGGGTCTAGATTCTACATCTGGTTCACCATCTGACCTCTGGTTCTTTGAACTTGAGCCAGTGGCCTACTGTATTGCCTGATGATCCTGGGAGTCCTCAGAAGTCTGCTATTTTACCTACTGAGCTTGGATTTATTTACCGCTGCAGCCAGAAGTCTGTCATCTGACCTGCTAATCTTGAGTTCATCAGCTCCTGCAGCTACGCAAGTCAGGGAAAGCCTCGAACCTGGCATTGAGCCCACAGACTTGAATCTTGTCCATTTTCTTGATAGGAATCTCTGTATACACACATATATAAGCTTCACGGGTTTAGCTTCTCTAAAAGCAAACGCAGCCCAAGACAGCTTCCTAGAGAATTCAACTGTAACAATCAGGAAACTTACAAGTCTCCACAAAAGAGAGATCTAAGTAGAAGAATGATTTGATGCGTTTGTTAAAATAAAAATCACACTAATCCAATAATAAATGAGTTGAGATTTATGTTACTTTCAAATGGGACAACCCTTCTGATTATTAGAGAGTCAAAATGTTCCAAACTTGAGTGAACTTCCAAAGATTCTTATACCACATCTTAGGAACATTGTCACAGAGACGGCCAGAACAACGCCCCGCTGCTCTACAAAAGCCTTGAGTGTTCCTTCCATGCAGAAATGGTAAAGCGAGTTCATCAGGCAGAAGGAACATCAGATCAAATGAAAAGTTAGATCGACAGGAAGAGACAAAGATCTTCAGAAAGCATTAAGATGTAGATCAAGTTCAAATACATTCTTTTCTTTTTATTTCCTTTAGATGATAAATGACTGTCTAAAGCAAAAAATAATAACTAGATATTGGGTGTCATGGAATATGCAAAAGAAACGAGGGTAACGAATGTACAAATGTGCTTGATACAATGGATGTATGTATGGATTGTGATAAGAGTGTATGAGCCCCCAATGAAATTGTTAAAAAAAAGAATATGCAAAAGAAAATATGTAACAATAGCGGAAGAGATGAGGGAAGAAGCGGGACTGTTGTCAGGTTCCTAGAGCACACAGAATGGTCTACTATTATTTGAAGGTAGACTGTGATTAACTAAACATATACTTCAAATTCTATGACAACCACTGAAATGTAAACAAACAAACAAACCAGAACCTTACTACCATGGAGTACGCTGTGGCTCGTAGTGACCTTCTGTAGAGTTTCTGAGACTGTAAATCTTTATGGGAGCAGATAGCCTCGTGTTTCTCCCAAGGAGAAGCTGGTAGGTTTGAACCACTGACCTTGAGGTTAGCAGTCCAATGCTTACCTGACAGCACCAGAAGAGCCATAAGTAATAAGCTAATCTCATAAAACCAAACTCCATGCCATCAAATTGATGCTGATCATAACAACCCTACAGTACACAGTAGAGCTACCCCTGTGGGTTTCTTAGACCACAAATCTTCATGGGAATAGAGAAATTCATCTCTTTCCTGCAGAGCGGCCAGTGGCTTCCGTACTGCTGAGCTTACAGTCACCAGGGTGCCTAATAAGCCAATAAAATAAAATGAAATCATAAAAAGCACTGAAAAAAAAGAAAAGAAAGAAACCAGCTCTGAGTAACAATCGGAACTCTCTCAATCGCACCTAACAACAACAAGTAACAGAGGGAGCAAGCAGGATGGTCGGTGTCATTCCAATCATATCAGTTCTTACATTAACTGTGCATGGTCTAAATGCAACGCAGCAATTCAGAGTCAAAGATGGTCAGATTAGGTTAAACAAGCAAGGCCCAAACACATTGTACAAGAGCACACTTTAAATATTGTTGCCAATGCATGACAACTTTATGCATAGCAGAATAAGATGTTGTCCAGGCTGGCACTCTCCTCCTGGCTTCTGGTGTGTTTGAAGGCCTGGTTGTGGTTCCTGTGTCAGTCATTCTCATTAAGGGTTTCCGGAGTTTTACGTGAAAGGAACGGGGAAAGGAATGTGGTACTGGAGCAAGGATCGATAAGCTGACCAATGGAATGTAATAGAGCCCTGAAACAGAGCCATGCTAATATGAGCACATGGTATATATGCAACAGGAACACTATATTTTTGCCCTCAAAGTTGGCATGTCATACATGGCGCTGGAACAGCTAAATTGCCATATAAGTAAAAACAAAAAATTAAAATGGGAGGAGTTTTCCTGGCTCTCATAGGCCTGAAATTCAATTCCAGATGGATTACAAAACTGCACTCTGCGTCACAGAAGGTTGCAAACAACTAGTTAACTGAACTTGATCTATCTAAATCTAAATTAGAGATCATCCATTAAGCTGATCTCTGTTCCTCCACTCTTTTTGGCTCTGTGTCTTTCCCCAGTGCTCCTCTCTCTCCACTCTGCCATCAGCTGACCACTCAGCCCAAATGGCCCCATGTCTGTGCGTCCCCATCCACCTGTTTCTAAGTTGCTCGTCTCTGGGTCCCCTCTCCCGCTCTCTTTCCCCTCAGACGGGCCCGTCTGTGTCCCTCTTGTATGATGTTCGCTCTCTTCTTGCCCGTTTTGCTCCTTTTCTTGCTCCCTGCTCAAACTGCTTTGAAAGAAAGTGAGCATCGTGGGTGATCTCCCATTTTAGTCCCTTAGGTGTCAGTCCATGCAACTGACACGCCACTCATCCGGACCCCTTTCGCCAGGTTCTAGGGAGGATTCCAGCTCCCAAATGCTGCTAGGCTTTATGGATTTCAGTTGTTTCTGAAAATGCCTCACATCCTGCACTGTCCTGGAAGAAATTTTGAGGCAGCGCTTTACCTCCAAGTCCGGGCGCCCTCAGGTTTCAATACAGCCAATAAAAACTGCGTACTGAGGGCCATAGGCTCGTTCTTTGTCTCCAGCAGCCTTTCCCGTTCCCCGGGCTGCCTTCCCTAGCTGGCCGTGGTCCTCCTTCACCAGGTGGATCATGGCTTAAAAAAACTCCTGGAAGCCAATATGGCGGAAGCAGTCGAACTTTTTGATGACATGTCCCTCTTGGTAATCCAGGGTGCGCAGGAAAGTGGCATGGTTGAGCCCATCTACATTGTGTTTCCTGAGGTCAGCTTCTTCAAATAGGATACGCTGCTGCGGCTGGGTCCCCTCGGCTGCCAAGGTGCATAGTCCCCTCAGGACCCTGTGCCGCCGCGAGAGCTCCAAGCAGTCCTCATTGTCATTGGGCGGCAAGACGGTGGAGACAGATCGTGTAGATGTCAGTGCCGTTACTGGGTATGTCTGAGACGTCCCTGCCTCTTTCTGCCAGCCCCTTTAACCAAGAACACACCATCCAACAGCACCAGGCACCTGACACAATTTGTTGAAAATGTCACTTCTTTGTACAAAGTCAAGGTGTTTCTAGCTCGCTCCTCGTCTGTCAAGTAGGAGCTGAAATACCTTCTCCTCTCCCCCTCAGAGAACCCTAGAACGTGGACACGGTATGATTCCTTTAGCGAGCACCTCAGATTTCCCACCGCCTGGGGCCGTGTCATGATGAGGAGGGAGGCCTGGGAATCTCTCTCCTGATTAGACGGTGCAGCAGGTTCTCCAGGGGACTCCACGTTGGCCTCATCGACCTGCCGGTGAAGGACGTCGGCAACTCATCAAAGCCATCCACGGCCAGCAGGAGCCTGAGCGTCTCCACACCACCAGTGAGGAACAGGGTCAGCTCGCATTTGGGCAGCAGAGTCACCGCCCTGCAGCTCACATAAAAGACAGAATCAAATTGGCCTGCAGACAGTACCGGGGGCCCAGTCCTGCACCATTTTTCTTGCCAGGGTTGTTTTTCCAGTGCCAGCATTCCCCTGAAGCACCACAGTAGATTTGGGGGATTTTCCCCCTGAGCCAAACAAATCTTTAACAGTGATCTCCTCCAGAGGAAGACAAGGCTCTGAACTCCCGGACTTGGGGTTGGCCATCAAGAGCAGCTGGCTGTCGCTGCCGTTGAGTCCTCCCTTTTGCGTCTCCTCGAGGCAGCACACGTGCTCCCGGTATCTGTCTCTGTAATCTGGCCAGACGGGAGGGAATAGGTAGGGATATGACAAAGAAAAAGAAGTACAGCACGGGCCCTTCAAACTCTGGATTCTGTCCTCTTGACTCGTCTTCCAATATCTCTAGGTTGGATTGCCCCTGAAAATGACAGTTCTGATTTCATGGAAGGAGATCGGGGTGTGTGTGTGTGTGTGTGTGTGTGTGTGTGTATGTGTTTTGCACATGTCTACATCTGTAAGAGCGCGTAAGGTGTGTTTTCTGTATGTGGATATTTGAGGCAGGAGTGGGTGAATGCTCGCAGCCACATGCGCTCACGGGGTACGCTTAGGAAGGCATGTCCGTGTTTCCGTCGGGAAGGTGTGCGTGGTCGGAAAGGTGTGAGTGTATATCTGTAAGGATGAGCTATAAGAACACGTGTGTGTGTGAAAGCTGTTGGGCGAGAGCTTGTGACTGGAGTTCATGTGAAATGTGCCCATTTGACGGGGTGTAGAGAGCAGGAGGAGGTATGGAAAGGGAAGTTAGGGGTGGTGAGATCATAGAAGCCTGTTCTTGGTAAAGGATGGGCCAGATGCTAAAGATAAACGAGCTTTATAGAGCAGCCTCCATCTTCAAATGCCACAGGAGGAAAGGAGGCCTGTGGGAGGGCACACAGGTACAGACAGATCCCCTGGTACCCCATCATAAGGGATAAGAGTCATTAGGCTCCCCACCCCACCCCCTACTCTCTAGGGCGACATTCGTCCATGGTTCTTTGAGTAAGCTGAGGCACAGGAGAAGACAGCCCTGCGTGAGAAGCAGCCTGAGCTGCCTACAAAGGAAGAGAAGAAAGGTTTAACCCACCACCCTGATGCCATTTCTTCTGGGTAGTGGAAATCCCTTTACCAATGTCAGCCTCGATCTTTCATGCCCTCCCCTTCTCTGGCACGACCACTGCGGGGAAGGAGAGGAACCCTGTCACCAGCTACTGCTGCCTTTCCAGCATCATCAGATACTGCTGCCTTGTCCTTGGCTCATGTCCTTCACCCCATCATGGTCAAGAACCTCACCTTGGGACCATCTAGGACCCTGGGGCTTCCAGGGCAGAGGGCAGGGGTGAGAGAAGACCCCACTGACAAGGAATCTCTGGATCTGCCGTGGCTAGGGGTCCAATATCCTTCTGACTCCCTCTCTTCACTGCCCCACTCACCGTCCAGACGAACGAAGCTGAGCTGTCCCACAAGTTCAACAGGCTCTTGTTCAAGCTCTCCAGCGTGGTACCACCTTCACCACTTCGTGCGCTCCGGACAGTCCAGTGAGTTGAGACGCCAGGCCTTTCAGCTCCCCTCGGCCCAGCTGCCCAGAGCCATCAGGAAGGGTCATGGTCTGCAAGTAGAACTTTAATGTCTTGAAGCTTTCCTCCTCGAGGTCGTTCAAAGCAAACAACAAGGCCTTTTGCAGGTCATGGGGCAGAGCCATGGTGATCAGAGTGTGGAGCTGGGTTCAGACCAGTGACCTAAAGTAGAGGGGAGAGGAGAGGTCCCCGCTGAGAGGAGAGCAACCTGCAGGCTCTCCCAGGTGCTGGGTGCTTGCTTGGCCAGCTGCTGGGTGGAGGCCAAGGCTTGAGAGTTGTGTGTCGAGTCCCAAGCAAAGTCAGTGATGAGAGTAGTAAGGGAATCCTCCTTGTCATTGCCCTTATGCCTCTTTGCCACGTCACATGGGTGAAGGTGTAGGCGTACAGGGAGGGAGAGCTTGTGGGTGTATTCATCTCTTCTTCCCTCTTACACACATTATCTAGTAGGTCCTGAGTGCCTTCTGAAACAATTTGGATTTTTTAAAAACCACATATTTTTATTGAATTTCTTTTGAAAGCAAGCCTGTCTCTGACTCTCCGGCAGCATATCGAGCTGGTGCATACAGTGAGCATCATCTGACAATGCCGCACGGCCCTCGCCCTCAGCCTCGATGCAGCTATCCGTGGAAATCTTCCAACGCAGAGAAGGAGACAGCTGTGGAGTGCTTATGTTGGGCCAGGTGCTTTGCATCTATTGTCTTTTCGTGATTGTGATCCTCACAGAAACTCTCAGCTACTACTGCTCATTAAGAACCCGTATTCAGGGTCCTATCAGTGGGCCAGTGGGCATGGCATAAAGGCAGGATTTAAACTAGGGTCCACGTCCTGGGAAGAGACAGAAAGAGGTGAGATGAGGAAGACATGGAAAGACAGGTTGAGAAAGCAGCGAGCCTCTAGAGGCTCAACCCTACCAGAAAACGTAGACCTCAGTGTCTGCCCCTGCAGTGGCCGGAGAAAGGAAAGGAATGCTGACCTGTTGAAAACATGGAGTGACAATGTCACTAGGCTGGCTATCTTCATAAGAAAGTAATAATCAATAGAAAGTTTTTAGAGACTGGAATGAGACCGAGCACCTAACGTCAACGGAGAATCCATCTTGGGAGTACCACGTCTGAGGGTGCTCAAACGAATGTTTGGGAATAGGATGGGTTACTGAGATTCAAATAGGTAGCTTTCAACTAGACAGCAACAGGAGAGGGAACATGCTGGGGCCTTGGGCTGTAAGTCACAGGACAGTTGGGAACAGCGGACTCTATTGGAGTGGAAAGAATTCACAGCAAAGCCTCAGGCTGCATGTGCAAATCACTGCGGCCCAGTAAACTAGTGCAGGAAGAAGAAAAGGCAGTGTCTGCCAAGAGGTCTGCTCAGAATGGGGAGCTGGAGAGGTGGTGGGTGTGATCCAGCTCCCTGAGGCTGGATGCCCTGCAAGCAAGGTCCAAGACCCAGGTACAGCCGGTCCTTTATTTCTAACCAGGTAACTCCCCAGCCCAAGCCAGGTTCACTTACACCCAAACTCACTAGATCCCTTCTGTTTGAGGGGTGCTAACATTTAAGGGAGGGGATGACAAGCCAGACACTTTGGGAACCTGGATCCTACCTAGTACAATGTAGAACTAGAACAGATTGAAAACCTCCTAAGCTGCTGTGAAGCAGAAGCACCCACATATCTTATCTGATTATCAATGGAAGAGCAATTGCTCACCAGAGGAGAACTTGACCTCTCCTCCGTGGATCAATGTTGAGAAATAAAGAAGGGACTTAGGGATGAACTATTCAGGCACCGAGGGGAAAAGAGGTCATCAGACTGACAGTCCCACTCTTTGAAACCCCTTGATCTCGTCTACATTTACAGTCCAGACTGCGACAGTTTGTCTAGTGAGGCAAATAAATTCCAAAGAAAATGGGCCATCAGAGGGTGTCCTCTACCAAAACAAAGAGGAGGCAACGATAACCGCATGCCAGCAGTCCGAACCAGGAGGAAGCAGTCCTGAAAGGCAGCTGCTGACTTGGTTTAGAGCAGCGGTTCTCAATCTGTGGGTCGCCACCCCTTTGGGGGTCGAACGACCCTTTCACAGGGGTCACCTGATTCATCACAGTAGCACAATGACAGTGATGAAGTAGCAAGGAAAATAATGTGATGGTTGGGGGTCACCACCACATGAGGCGCTGTCTGAAAGGGTCACACATGAGGAAGGCTGAGAACCACTGGCTTAGAGAGCCCAAAGCCCAAGGGCCGTGGCAGGAAACGGATTTCTCCCAAAGGAGTGTTTCCAAGAAGAAACAGAAAGGCAAAGGATGGATCGATTGACTCACATAACTGACCTGAAAAACCATACTCGGAACTACTGCAGGGAAAACTAGCTACAAGCACAAAGAAGACTAGACCACGAGAACGAAAATAAGGAATTCCTAGCTCTAAAGGGAAAGAAACCCAACTGTAAACTCTAAATCATGCTTGCACAGGAATAATGGGGTAACTACTGACTATTGAAGTACGTAACGCTGTAATGTAGACATGGCGAAAGGACTAACTGCTCATGAACTGGGACGGCAGTTCCTGAGTAATGCCTAGAACGGATACAACAAAAGGCGGCAGCGTACATACATTGGCTACTGTGAACGGCCGAGATGGAAGAAATGGACACCTCAGGGGTACCTGGCTTTCCGAGGGGTCCCCTCGGGAAGGGGTTGGGACCGTGGGAAATGAGGGAGCGGGGAAATGCTGTGTTTGTGCATGAACTTTTCAATGACTTTAAGAATTCTGCGCATGTTTGATAAAATAAGATTTAATTTTACAAAGAAAGGATGGGGCTAAAGGAGTCGTGGTAGCCGATAGGCAAAGCTTTTATAAAGCTTGGCAGCGAGAAGCTCTAGGAAGGTAATGAGGCGACATGGAAAATGTGGAGCCAAGAGAAGGCGTTCTTTGTGTTAGCATGGGAGGGAATGGAAGACATTCGAATGCGAGGAAAGAGATTCAAGAAAGGTGACCGACCGAGGAGAAAATTGAGAATGCGAATTGAAATAAGGTTCCTTTAACAGGAGGAGGAAATATTTTTCACCGAGAAAGACAGGAGTGGTAGTAAGTCTTGTAGTAAGAAGGGAAGGGTGATTGTGTCTGTGGTCCAGTTCTATTCTCCACAGAGTCTGAGAGAAGCATCTACGTCCTGAGTAGCTGAAGAGGGGAGAAGCCAGGGGGTACCCCCAGAGTCCGGGGTCAATAGCAGCAACAGGAACTGCCACGTTGAGACTTGGAGACAGCAACAAGGCAGCAAAGAACTCAGTCTAAGAGATCACAATGGAAAACGGGGTAAAGACAGTCACCTGAATGGAGCAGGGGGGAAGGGAGAACAAAGAGGCCGCTTACTGTGAAGCAATCCGTCTGCTTCCTCTGGATCCAGAGATCTTCCAGTGTCACACCTAAAGGAAGTAGGAATGAGACCCCTAAGAACCAATGTTAATTGGTGGGTGGAGGCAGGAAATTACATGAAGCCCCCATTCCTATAAATCATGGCCTGCTGTGACCAGAATTAGACACTAGAACGATTGAGTCCCCAGAAGAGGCAGAGGCAAAAGGATGGAAACAGATAAAGAGGCAAGGGAGAGGTACAGAAAGAAGTCGAGAAATGAGCAGGAAAACAGAAAAAAGAAACGACACTAGCTTCTCTAACAATCTGTCTCCTCTCCCTCACTCTTCCTCGGTCCCCTCTCATATACACAGACACACGCACGTGCATGTGCATACACACTCACTCTACACCCAAAATGTTTCTTGACAGAAAACTCTCAAGAAACAAAGATAACCAGGGGAAAAAAATCGAGGAAATGCCAAGCTATTAGTTTCCTGCCTTCGCTATGATCTGTCCCCACCAGGGAAGTTCACAGTAAGGCAAAGTTGAGTACACGTCTTAACCCTTCTGTTTCTACGCTTCCTTTTGCATTGCACGACAGGAGTCTCTACCTCCCCTACATAAGCTCCCTCCCGTTTAAAAAACTCTGTTGCCACTAAATCCATTCCAACTCATGGCAAGCCCTTGTGTGATAAAGCAGAACTGCTCCATAGGGTTTCCCTGGCTACAGTCTCTCTAGAAATGGATCTCCAGGCATTTCTTCCACAGTGCTGCTAGATGGGATTGACCTGCCAATACTTCCATTAGTAGTCAAGCATGTGCTAAGGGCCCTTTGAAATGGTGTCTCCAGGTCCTCAGGAGGGTCACCTTCTACACCTGGGTGAGTTTTGATGACGGGAGCATACAGAGTTGGCCAGCTTAAAGGTCCCATTTAGGCAAGCCCCAGAGCCATGTGTTGGAGGTCTGTCTCTGCTGCTAGAGGCTGATTTTCCTCGAAGAACTGCCATATCTCCTTGGAGGAGAAAGGAGCCATCAATGTCTGTCCCCAGTGACGTGTCCACTGCTAGGAAGGCTGGGGCCCTTTCACCACACTAGAGGTCAGAAAAATAAGCAGGCTGGAAAAGCACATGATAAAATTGCAGTGGTCATCCATAAAGCTAGATGGCTCTGACATTTGCTATCTCGCTCTCTCTTTTTTTAACAGTTTTATTAGCACTTCATCCACATGTCATACAATTCAATAATCCAATTGTATCAAGAGGAGCTGTACAACTGTCACCATATTCCATTCCAGAACATTTTCTTCTTCCTTGTACTCATTATTCATGTCGTTATTTTTTTTCTTAATTGTAGCAAAAATATACACAACAAAGCATTCTCGAATTCCACAACTTCTACTTGTAAAATTCAGTACCTTCATGTTGTACAACCATTATTGATATCCTTTCCCAAATTATTCCTGCACCAATGACATAGGCAGAGGCGAAAGGGTGGAAACAGACAGAGTCAAGGAAGAGCCACACTTTCAATGCCCCTAAGCAACAACACACTCTCCTGCACCCCTGGTAACCATCGGTCAAGTTTGATTTCACTTATTTATTTTGTATTAGTTTTCTTGATATAGTATCCACATATCATGCACTTCTATCACAATCAGTTCTAGTGCTTCCTCCCACTCCCACACTCATTATTTACTCCCCAAACCCCCTCACCCTGCCCACCTTCCACACCCCCTCCACATCCCCAATAAGCCATTGCATCAGTTACTGTCTCTATGC